CTCCCAGAATCCCCCAGTCATCCAGGGCCTTTCAGGTTTTCTTCCAATAGTGCCCCCATCATCACTACTATAGCCATCTCCTTTGTAACGGAGTCCTCTTCCCCTTTAACAGGTAGTCCGCATCTTATGACCACAACTGAGACCAGAATTTTTTGTGGTTAAGCAAGCCAGCCAGTTGTTAATATGAGTCATGCCTAATTTTACAACCTTTTTTTTAAAAAAAACACAGCGGTTAGGCAAATCACTGCAGTTGTTAAGTGAGTCACACAGTCATTAAGTCAATCCAGTTTCCCCCTCCCTCCCCATTCGCCAGCTAGGGAGGTAGCAAAGGGTGACCCCTCCTCCCCAGGACCCTACAATTGTTGTAAATCCATGTTGATGGCCAAGCACCCAATTTTAATCACAGGATCTTGGGTTTTGTGACAAGGGTGGGATTCTACCAGTTTCCCTACCAATTTGGTGATCGCACACTTCGCTCCTGCACGCGTGCAGAGTTTTCCAAAAGACCAGCTGAGGCTCTGCCATGCCACAGGGGCTGGTGGGAGGGCCGATCCTGCACTTTACCTCTTCTCTCTCCTCTCAGCTGATCGTCAAAACTTTTTGCTGAACTGGTAGCAATTTTTTGCAACCGGTAGTAGCATTTCGCCACTGGTTTTTGTAAGTGTGAGCACTGGTCGGAAGTCACTCTTTTTTTTCAGTGCCGTACCTTTTGAGCGTTCACTAAACAAACGCTTGTAAGTCAAGGCTACTTGTATAGCCGTTTCCCATCGCCAGCCTTTTATAAGAGTAATTACAGATAGTCCTTGACTTACAACCATTCAATTGATGATGTAGTGGACCATTGCTTGCACTTAGAGCAGGGGTTCCCAAACTTGGCAACTTTAAGACTTGTGGGCTTCAACTCCCAGAACTGAAGTCCACAAGTCTTAAAGTTGCCACGTTTGGAGACCCCTGCCTTAGAACTTCCCCACTGACAGGTGATCAAAATTCAGGTATTTGTCAATCAGCCTGTATTAACGACGGCTGCCGCATCCATGGGTTATTTTTTTTACCTTCCCAGCTGGCCTCCAACAAGCAAAGTCAAGGGGGGAAAAGCCAGATGTGCTTAATGACCCAGCGATTCACTTAACAACTGCACCAATTTGCTTAAAGATGTGCCAAAGCAAGTAGTCAGCTCAACCGGCTCACCCTTAAGGGCACGCAATTCTGCTCTCAAATGTGGTCGTTCGTTGAGGACTAGCTGTCCATGGAGATCCTCAGTCATCTAGGTTATGGCTGTCCCAAAAGTGCCTTTTTTTTTTTCCCCAGAAGGCAACTGGACTAGTTTCTTGGGATTTCCTATCCCCTTGAAAACGTTTCCCTTCTCATCCAAGGAGCTTCTTCGGTTCCTTGAGAACTACCTGAAATCGGAGATGCAGAACTAGGAAATTTAGTTATCGACGTGGCCCAGAGATCTTTAAGATGGTTTCTTCAGTCTTCCAGATGCAGAGGGAAGAATCTGGAGAGTTTAAATCCTGACACATCTGGATGGGAGAATCCAGAAAGATGATTATTTATGACACCGAAGATATTTGAACTCTTTTTCTCCAAACAATTGGGAGTTTTAAAACTTTTGCTGGTGTTAGAAGAAGCTGAACACGTGAGCTGTTTTTGCCTGTTTCCTGCCTTCTCCAAAGGGAATTTAGAGTTTTCGATTTCCGGTTCTTGTTCACCACCTGAGCAAACAGTTTTGGGGGTGGAAGTGAAGGAGGTAGCTCTCTTTGGTGGGTTTATGTATTAGGAGACTAAGAAAAAGTGGTTCTCTTGCGATTCTTGACCTGCTGAGGAAAATGGTGTATCGAAACTCAGGTTTAGAAGTTTTATCATCAGTGTCTTGTATTTGCTGGCCAGTCTAGACAGTTGAAGGGCCTATCAATCAGAACAGAGCTGGAAGGGACCTTGGAGGTCTTCTAGTCTAACCCCCTGATCAAGCAGGAAACTCTGGCCTATACCATTTCAGACAAGTGGCTGTCCAATCTCTTCTTAAAAACCTCCAGTGTTGGAGCACCCACAACTTCTGAAGGCAGGCTCTTCCACTGATTAATTGTCCTCTTTGTTAGGAAGTTTCTTCTTAATTCTGGATTATAGTAGAACAGGAATGCAGGGTTTGTGTGTTCCTCATCCTTTTTAAAAAAGCATTTAATGAGACTTGGATACATTTAAATCCTTTGGGGGTTTTGTATTAATTATATTGCAACTATCAACATGCTAACTATTTGGGTTGTCCCATTAAAGTTTCTAGGCCCTCTTGTTCCTACCAACCCCCAGTGAGACCAATGCATACTCAAGTTATTTGGTTGGTTCTGTTGGTTTTCCCCCTTTTAAGCCCATTCCCCAGACAGACAGCGGAGATGGAAACTGAACAAGGAGAGATTCGACCTGGAAATAAGGAGAATTTTTGTGACGGTGAAAACAATCAACCCATGGAACAGAAGTTGTCTTCAGAAGTGGTGGGAGCTTCATCACTGGAGGCTTTCAAGAAGAGACTGGACTGCCATCTGTCAGAAATGGTGTAGGATCTCCTGTTTGGGGGGGGGGTTGGACTAGATGACCCACAAGGTCCCTTCCAACTCTGTTAATGCTGGATGCTCTGCAGTGGATAAGAAGACATTCCAGAGAGTTATAAACACAGCACAAAAAATCATTGGTTGCTCTCTTTCCTCTTTGGAATTGATTTTGAAGACCAGACTCCTCTCTAGAACACTAAAAATCTCCACAGACCGTTCTCATCCTGGACATTTATATTTCGATTTACCATCAGGGAGGCGCTATAGATGTCTTAAAATGAGGACTAATAGATTGAGCAACAGTTTCTTTTCCAAGGCAGTAATTGTCTTGAATCAATCAGTGCATTTGTGATTTATTATTATTATTATTATTATTATTATTATTATTATTATTATTATTATTATTATTATTATTATTATTATTATTATTATATACCCTGTAGTGTGATTGTGATGTGGTGTTTGGGGCACTGTGCTGGAGTAGCTTTCAAATTTCATTGTATTCGTGGAATGCAATGACAATAAGGCTATTCTATTCTATTCCAATTCCTTCTATTCTATTCCATTCCATTCTAATATTTATCCCATCTATTCTATTCTATTCTGTTCTATATTCTATTCTATTCCAATTCCTTATTCTATTCTATTCTATATTCTATTCTATTCCAATTCCTTATTCTATTGTATTCTATTCTATTCTATTCTATATCCGAGACAGGAAACCTAAATAGGACTGGTCACGTTTACTTCCGAGTAAGTCCCAGGGAACAGTTAGAAGTGACTTCCCGAGAAAAAAACGTGCAAATAGCCCAAGCATTTGTTTCAGCCCGAAAGAAGATTTAATTTAAAAGCCCGAAGAAATCCCCAAATGAAATCCTTCCTTATTAAATAATACATGCAAAAGCAGCGTTTCTTTAAAACACACACACACACACACACACCGATTTTTTGTGGGGAAGCAAAAAAAAAAAAAAAGCCGAATTATGACGTTTGAATCGAAACCCTCCCCCCGCCTCTTTTAATTGCAACCCCCCCACCCCCACCCCGTCCTATGTTTGACGACTGCGATCCCTCCGTTTTTCGCCGTATGTAACGCATCTTTCTCCGTCTCGATAAAAACCGCCCGCCCGCCGTCCTCGTTCTTTTTTTTCTTCTTCTTCCTTTAATACAGCTCTTTGTTGTAGAAATAATACATCATGAATGGCCCTTTAAAAAAAAAAAAAAGAGCGCGGGGAGGTGGGGGGGGAAGGAGGGCGAGGAAATACGGGGGCTGGCTTCGCAGAAGCGTGTGGGCGGAGGAAAAACTCCATTCTGGCACCCCAAAACCCCGCCCACTATTGCTTGATCGCTGGCGGGTGGGGAGGCGGCGAGGCGAAGCATCCGGTCTCCTTTCCACGTGGGGGCAGAGCCGCCAAGCGACGTCCATTGGTCGGGCCGGCTGGCGTCTGAGCGGGAGGAGAGCTCCGATTGGCTGCGGCGGGGCTGGCCGAGAGAGAGAGAGAGAGAGAGAGAGAGAGAAAAGGAGTAAAGAATGAATGGGGAGGGGGGGAGAGTCGCTCCGCCCATTTCGAACGTTGATACATTCTAACTTTTTTTTTTCCCCTCCTCCTCCTCCTCCTCCTCCTCCTCCCTCCGCCTCTTTCATCTCCCCTCCTTCGCCTGTGTGTCTTCCCGGCACTTGGGTTACTTTCACACCAGACTCCGGGAGCAGCAGCGGCGGCGGCGGGAGCCGGGCTGCTTCGCTGCTCGGTGGGTTGCGCGCGTTTGGCCACGGGTTCAAGCCCAGGTGGGGAAGCTAAGCTCAGCTTTTGTTTCCTCCTTTGTGTGTGTGTGTGTGTGTGTGTGCGCGAGGGGGGGGGTATTTTTTCAGATGATTATTTCTTTAAAAAAACAACAACCCAAAAACCTTCCCTGCTGCATTTCCCTAAGAAGGTAGATCGTATTATTTGGGGGGAGTGGAAGAGTGAGGGGGGGGAGTATTGAGGGTGGATGGGGGGGGGCGAATAAATCGGAGAGAATGCTATCCTCCCCCCCTCCCCTCTTTAGGATGCCTGCAATCAGGAGGGGAATAAGTGAGCTTTCTGGCGGAACGGGGAGGGGGGTCGTGAAAGGACAAAAGACGCCCCCCCCTCCCCTTTCTCCTTCTCCGCGATCTCCGCGCACGGAAGCTTTTCGGCGGAGCAGAACTTTTCTTTTTTCTTTTTAAAAGATCCCAAGACGTTAATAGTTGGACTTGAATTTGCGCCCGGCCGAGGGAGGCGGAGAGGATGGGGACTGGGGCGGGGGGGGGGGGGGGGGGGGGAGAAAGAGACGGAGGCGCTCCAAGGGTCGTGTAAACGCGGCGGGGGGAAAAAGGCACTCCTTTGTCTGCGGGGGCAGCCTGTCTACCAGCTTCGTGGCCTCATCTCTGCCCTCCTCCTCCTCCTCCTCCTCCTGCCCCCTTTCCCGCCCCAGGTGAATCGAATGGACCACCAACCCACCCCCAGGAGCTGCAGCCGGGGGGCCCCAGCCTGCGACACTGTCCAGAGTGACCCTCCTATGAATGTTTTCATTCACACGACCACCGGGGCCCGGTATGAGCTCTCTGTCCCCGTGGAAGAGACGGTGGAAGGACTGAAGAGGAGGCTGTCTCAGAGGCTTAAAGTCCCCAAGGAGCGGCTGGCTCTCTTACATAAAGAAAGGTATTCACTCTTGTCTGCTTGTGGGTGTCTTTCTTTCTTTCTTTCTTTCTTTCTTTCTTTCTTTCTTTCTTTCTTTCTTTCTTTCTTTCTTTCTTTCTTTCTTTCTCTCTCTTTCCTCTCTTTCCTTCTCTCTCTCTTTCTCTCCTCTCTTTCCTTCTCTCTCTCTTCCTCTTTCCTTTTCTCTTTCCTTTCTTTCTTTCTTTTCTTTCTTTTTCTCTCTTTCTCTCTCCTCTTTCTTTCCTTCTCTTTCTCTTTCCTTCTCTCTCTTTCCTCTCTTTCTTTCCTTCTCTCTTTCTCTCTCCTTCTCTTTCTCTCTTTCCTCTCTTTCTTTCCTTTTCTTTCTTTCTTTCTTTCTTTCTTTCTTTCTTTCTTTCTTTCTTTCTTTCTTTCTTTCTTTCTCTTTCCTCTCTCTTTCTTTCCTTCTCTTTCTTTCTTTCTTTCTTTCTTTCTCTTTCCTTCTCTCTTTCTCTTTCCTCTCTCTCTTTTTCCTTCTCTCTCTCTCTAATCTTTCATCCATTTCTCACCCACCCATCCTTTCAAAATAAAGACTTGTTGGGGGTGGGTGGGGTAGAAGATAGTGGGAAGTTAGAATTTTAACCCATTTGTTTCCTTTTTAAAAAAAATATATGTGGGAGAGACCTTAATTAAAAGCTGCTTTAGCTGCTTTGCAACCTTGGGAAGTCTCCTTGAGTTCAGGTTAAGAAGGCAAATATTCAGGAACTGCTTGGAGCTTCCCTGGGAAGCTTTTCTGGGTATTAAGATTCCTTTGGGACTGCAGCCTTCAAACTTCCCGAAGTGCATGGAGAAAAATAAGAAAGTGTACAATCTCTAGGCTGCTCGGCAACTGCCTTGAACTTTCTTGGGTATTTGCGTGTGTGTGTGTGTGAATGCCTGCGGAAACCTTTGTGCATGCCCTGCCTTATATATAGTAAAAAAAAAACGTTGGAAATGTGCTGATTGTGGAATACTGTTTAGATAAGAATCCATACTTCTCTACAGAAGATAGACTCTGTGTGTGTGTGTGTGTGTGTGTGGAGAGAGAGAAGGGGGTGGGATTGCAGTGGGATTCATTTTTGACATCCAGACACATCATAAAATAGCCAAAGGGAGCTTATATGGAGTATTTAGATAGAAGAGAAAAATATATCTTGAACCTCTTTGAGGATTTCTGCAAAATACCTTATTCCCTTGTTTAAAAAAAAATAAACCCTCAAGGCTTTTGTAAAGAGTGGAGTGTAGCCCCCGCCCCATAAATAACATGCTGGGCAGTCTAATTGGCAGAGTTGGCATTCCCCTTCCCATTCAACCTCCTCCCCCTCTCCCTCCTCTTTCTCCCTGCTGGGGGAAGAAATATTAATGTCTATTGATCTGAACTCAGGATCAGAAATTGCCCTGGCAGCTTTGCTGCTGATGAAGAAGACTAGGAAGATAAAGACAATCCTCTTTAAGCAAGCCCTTGTCACCCCACAAAAAAGAGCTTTATTGGGGAAATCAGATTCCCTTCCTGGAGGTGTCCTTTGTTCTGAAGGTTGAATTTGGGTAGCGTGCAAGTGCATAGAGAGAAATGTACACCTACACACACATGCACGCACACACATCCACGCTTGCATGCACACGGATGCAGGCCACCTTTTAACCGCTTAAAAAATAATAATAATAACCCCAGGGACCTCTAGAGAAACCTTGGGAGGCACAGAGAAGGCTAGCTGGGGCTGACTTGAATGTCCTTTGTGAGGGGGAAGAGAAGGAAGGGTTTGGTTTGGGGGTGGGGTGGGGGCGGACAGGGCTATCTGGAGTGTGTGAGCCACTCTCTTTGTTTAACTAAATCCCCCCTTAGCTTTGTTAGGGAATGCAGAACAGATCAGTCTTAAAAAGCCAAAGGGGGATTTATTTTAACAAAGAAACTCCCTCTCTTTTTTCCCAGCACCCCCCCCCCCCCAAAAAATTTCCCCAAGTCCACCCCTCCTTTTTTTACTCCTTTATACATCTTCCCTACCCTTTGAACTTAAACCGTACTGAAAGATGATTTTTAAAAAAAATCTTATCAAACCTAGTTTTAAAAATATTTTTTAAAGAAGTCATTTTTATCTGCCAGCCCTTCTGGTGATTAAGATGTTCAAGGTATCCGTACAAACTTTGGACAATATTCTGATTTGGGAATAATGGTTAAATGAGGATGGGGGAAGCTGGTTTTATCAATTGATCTGGTCCCAAAGCTGCCTTCCCCCCCCCATCCTATTTGAGGATCAGACTGGAAAAATTTAAAATAAAATTCACTTACCTTCAAATCTCTCCACCCTCCCTCACCAGAAATATTCAATAGCTCCTGATGGAGTTCTTTATCTGTGGTTCTCCCCCTCTCTCCCCCCGCCCCCCTTTTAACCTGCCTTAGCTTCCCAGATCTGTCAATTCAATTGTCTGGAACTATAGTCTGTTTGAGAAGCAAGGGATGTTGTAGAAGCACAGCCCTTCTCTCTCATGGGGGCAGCAGAGGAAAAAGAGAGAGACTTATAATATTATGTTTACATAAGGAACGGAAAGTGGAGTGCCTGTTTGGTGGGAGGGAGAAAATGGGAAAAAAATAATATATATATATATATATATATCGGTGGCTGCATCTTTATTAGAGATCCCGAAGAACTAATTTTGTCCCAGGGAACCATTTTAATAATAAAAGCAACAGCAGCCCTCGTATTTATTTTTTATTTAAAATCACAACCTCCTTAGCAACCCCCATGCTGCCCCACGTCTTTATAACAGTTTGCAATCTTTAAAAATGTTAAAAAGGAAGTGTTTTTGTCATCGGTGTGGCTCCTTCTGACCTTGTAAACCAAATCTTCGCTTTTCCCTTTCTGTTCCTTGTTTTTCCTCCTCCCAGTCGTCTGAATTCAGGCAAGCTGCAAGATTTGGGAGTTGGAGAAGGGAGCAAGCTGACTTTGGTACCCACGGTGGAAGCTGGCTTGATGGTAAGTTTTGGTTGTTGTTGGGTTTTTTTTAGACTCTTGCTGATCATGGTTTCATGCCAGAGGCTGTGAGAGTCTGGCCGAGGTCACTGTAGGGGCAGGAAATTCAGAAACTTAAACTTCCTCTCTTCTTTTCTTTCACAGTCTCAAGCATCTAGGCCCGAACAGTCGGTGATGCAAGCATTAGAAAGTTTAACTGAAACTCAGGTAAGATGCGATTCAGGTAGATACCAATCAGTTGTTCTTTTTTAAAGACTCTGTTTGGGCCAATTCTTCCATCTTTAAGAGAGAGAGAGAGAGAGAGAGAGTAGATGCCTCTGCAAAAAAAATGGGGAATTATAGTGGATATATAGGACTGTCACTATGGATTTACTGCGAAGATCCCCTAGGTTGGAGTTTCTCAACCCTCAGCCATTTTGAAATATGTGGACTTCAACTCCTAGAATTCCAGTGGCTGAAGTTGAGCAACACTGCTGTAGAAGTTTGGACTACAATTCCCAGGAGTCCAAGTGGCTTGGCACCTCAGGCCACAAAGCAAAACATTGAAAGGACATCGGGATTAGTCTTAGTCTAAATTTGTCAAAAACAGCAAAATATCTCGTGTCAAGGTTCTAGCCCATGGGAAGGTAGGTGGGTTTAGCCTCTAGTTGCTCTTCTCGTGTATGTATTACTCCTGTTATAGTTTTATTTATTATAATAGTAAAGTAATAAAAACCTATCCTCTACTTAATGCCCTAGTTCAGAGGTCCCCAATCTTGGCAACTTTAAGACTGGTGGACTTCAACTATGCTGGCTGGGGAATTCTGGGAGTTGAAATCCACATGTCTTAAAATTGCTGAGTCTGGAGACCTCTGTTCTAGTTGTAGGCCAAGATTTTCTAGGATTCCCCAGAGAGAATTCTGGGAGTTGTAGTAAGAAAGCATGCCAATTGAGCTGGTTGTCTCATCAATGCTAGTTGAGCGCTTTACACTTTTGGCTGGTTCTATTTGGGGAGCTCAGAGTGCTCTAATTCTGTTTTAGTTCTCTGCAGATCTGTAGACAGATTCTCTTTTATCAGCAGTCTCACTAGTTGCATTTTACTTTAGGCCCTGACTTAAGCAACTTCCACTTGCTTTTAATTTCTATTGTTTTTGCTCATCCTTCCTGATCTTCAATCTTTAGACTTTCTGTTTAACTCATTAAGTTTTTTTTTAAAAAAAAACCAAACAAACCCAAGCCTGCCTGATTTTTAACTCCTCTAGATCTGTCTCCACTGATCAATTATAGCGACGAATAAATACAGCTCGTTCTTGACTTACAGCAGTTCATTTAATGACCATTCGAAGTTAAAACATCATGGGGGGGGGAAAGTGACTTATGACTGTTTTTTTTACACTTACAACCATTACAACATCTCCATGGTTACATGATCAAAATTCAGATGTTTGGCAAATGACTCATACTTATGACGGTTTGTAGTGTCCCGGGGTCATGGCAAGCAAAGTCAATGGGGATTCATTTGACATCTGCATTACTAATTTACCAAAGTGCAGTGGTTCACTTTAATGACGGTGGCCAGAGAGGCCGTACCATGGGGCAAAACCTCACTTTAACAAATGTCTCGCTTAGCACAAACGTGGGGCTCCAATTGTGGTCGCAAGTCGAGGACTCCCTGTATTACGAGAAGGTTCATGGTGTGCTTGATCACAGATGCAAAGTTTGGTGAAGCCTGGTTGAGCTGAGGTATAGAAAGATTGACCTTGGTTTTGTGGGCCCTATTCTCTTGGGTACCCTCTTCCCACCGTTTTTTTTTTTTTAAAAAAGGAAAATTTTTTGGAGAAGTTGCTTCTCCAAGGAGCTGAAAACAATAGGCTTTTCTCCAGCCAGATAATAGTATTTCTTAGCTATCTCCACCCTGTTGAAGGAAGCTATAGGAAACAAGGTTTACTTCCTCACTCAAGGTGAGTCCCCTCAACATTCTTGCGTAGGCTGTCTCAACAGTCCTTGTATTTTAATTTCTGTGTTTACCATTGGTTCCTCCCTCCCTGAAGGGGTTTGCATCCTTCATTTCTGCCCCCAGCCCTCCCCTTAGCAAATACACAAAAGACCTCTTTTCCTTCCCTCAATTCCGTCCCTTCCCTCGTTGCACGTGATTCTGTAATTTTTTGTAACCCAACATAACATCCCTTCTGTTCTTTTGCAATTTAAAAAAAAAAAAATCAAGTCGCAAGAGGATTGCAGAGTTCCCTTGAGAGGGTGCGGGGTGGGTGGGCAGGATCACACTGCCACCCAGTCGACAGACAAAAAGAGAGGAAGGGTGGAAGGAGGAGTATAGAAGTCAGTCAGGTTTGCTGTATTTAAAATGCAGAAAAGGAAGGACTGGATGGAATAGGTCAGGAAGACCTTTGGGAGAGATGGCTATGGGGGTGGGTGGGTGGGAGGCTAAAGAGTGTTGAAGAGTGGCTTGCTAGCTGGCCTTCTGTTTGGGACAGCTCTGGCTCCGATTAAATTGCTTTTCCTATCTGCACATTCTTTCCTCCACACAAGACACCCTGGCATATTTCCAGGAGCGAGAAAGGGCCACAAGACTAAGGTAGTCTTGCTTAGAGAAGAAAGGGCAGTTTAGGCAGGGGAAGTTTGATGTGGCTCTCCTCTTGAGAAGGAGGTTGGACTAGAATAAGGGTCTCCAACCGTGGCAACTTGAAGCCTGGCGGACCAACTCCCAGAATTCCCCAGCCAGTAAAGCTGGCTGGGGAGTTCTGGGAGTTGAAATCCGCCAGGCTTCAAGCTTTGGCTGGGGAATTCTGGGAGTTGAAGTCCGCCAGGCTTCAAGCTTTGCTGGCTGGGGAATTCAGGGAGTTGAAGTCCGCCAGGCTTCAAGCTTTGCTGGCTGGGGAATTCTGGGAGTTGAAGTCTGCCAGGCTTAAAGTTGCCAAGGTTGGAGACCACCCCTGGACTACAAGACCTCCGAGGTCCCTTCCAGCCCTATGAGTCTATGACCTTCAATAATATTAAAAGCAGGAAGTTTTTAAGTTACCATCCTGAAAGTCAGGAGATGAGAGGAAGAAGCGATGGGGTAGGAAGAGGAGAGACGAAGCACGCACAGTGGCCTGTGGATTAATCTGTAACCATGCCAATTCCAACAATTGGAAAAGACTTTTGTGGCATGGCTTATTTCTCAAGAATTATTATTATTTTGGGGGGGTTGGAGGCGGGAGTGATACAAGCACCACAAAAAGCTAAACGTTGCCAGTACTTTTTTTGTGTTTTTATAGCCTTTGGGCCTCACTGGCCAACAAGACTTATGCAGATGTTTAGGGAACATTTCAAAGGGAAATAGACACTTGGAATTAACACCCCCCTAGGTATTTTGAGGACTCACTATAGGAAGCCCATGTGTGGTAAACTTGGAAAGTTTTGCTCATTGTCAATTTTGAGGGCTGAAGGTCCTGCTGATGGGGTGATGCCCTATTTGGGCCTCTCGCATGGGGTCCTTGGTGCTTTCTGGGTGAGGGGGTCCCCTCAGCCATCTGATGAGCTTCAGACTGAGGAAGGCTGAGCAGGCCTCTAATAAAATGCTTTATTTATTTATTTTTTAAAAAATTGCCCCCTCCCCCAACCCCTGGCAGATATTTCAAAGCAGCGTTTTTTTCCAAACTTGGCAACTTGAAAGACTTGTGGACTTCAACTCCCAGAATTCCTCAGCCCCACCAATGGATGGATAAGAAGAAAAGGAAGGGGGGGGGGGGGGGGCTCGTTTCTTCCTTTTGCCTCATCTATTCCACTAAGAAACAACCAGTATACTTACTTGCCTGCCGATATTCCTGGTCGTATTACAAATCCCATTGTTTCTTCTGGCTGTGGATGCTGGGACCAGGGGGAGGGGAGTGGTATCATCTGACACCGCAGGGCATTCCTGGTTATGAAATGAGGCCGGGCGCATTGCTGCCAAGGAGATTATCAAGCCCAGCTCCCTCTGTGTTTATAATGCCACCACCCACAGCCGGGAAAGGAGCCAGGGTTAACTTAGGCCAGGCGTGGTTGAATGGGGGGGGTGGGGTGTAATGGGAGTCTAATCTGAATTATCTCTCTTGGTTTTAGAAGCTGGACTTTGCTTTCTGACTCAGTGAAACTTTGCTCCGGATTTTCTTCCTCTTTTTACTCGATCCCATCCCTTCAGTCTCTTTGGAGCAGTGTTTCTTAATCTCAGTAACTATAGAGATGTCTGGACTTCAACTCCCAGAATTCCCCAAGAGAGAGAGAATCCAGCTTCCCTATTGGTTTTGCTTGTGGGAAGCCAGCTGGGAAGGTCGCAAATAGGGAGCTCATGACCTCTGGACACTGCAAGCATTGTAAATACACGCCACTCGCCAACCTCCCAGATTTTGATTATGCGACTCTGGGGACGTTGCGATGGTGTGTGTGATGACTGATCATCGCTCACTTTTTTTTTTTCCAGTTCCGTCCTCATTGCAAATGGTTGTTCATAAGTTGAGGACTACCTGTATGTTGGCAAGGTGGGGGAAGAAAGCATGAAAGGGCTATATAAGTATGCCTATCCATAGGATGATAGAAAAGTGCCGTGCACTTGTTAATATTTAAAGAGGTTGTTACGCCTAAGAGGAACATGGCCTGCTTTGGTTAGAGGGCAGGAGTCTGATCCATGAGGAAATAGATTTTTTTAAAAAAACAAACAAACATTTGTAAAGACTTCCCAGTGTTTCTGATATGATATGGCCAGTCTCTGAAGGGGAGTTGTCTTTCCTTTGCTCAAGTTGTTCTTTGATGTTCATTCAGACCTTTGGGCAGGGGTCAGACTAGATGACCTCAAGGGCATTTTCCAGTTTGGTGTTTATCATTTGTACTTGGGGTTTGTTTGTTTTTTTTCCTTTCTCTTCTGAAACTTTGCTTTTGCAGCCTAAATCCTTCTCAGGTGGGCCTTTTAAAGAGCCCCGCAGACCCCCGTTCTGCATGAAAATCAGGAACTACACCTACAGAGAATAAAAAATCTGGGTTTGAGATTGGGATGGATTCACTGAAGCTAAGAGCTGTCAATCCCTAGGAGAGGTGGTCTCTTGATGTGGCGTATCCCCTTTCCTGGAGGGTGTGCAAAACCCCAGGCTGGATAACCTGGGGTCCATTGTGTTGTAATAGATCCTGTACCAAGCCGAGGGGGTAGTCTAGACACCTCCAGAGGCCCCTCATGCTGCTTATTGATTGCCCCGGGA